AACCATTATACTTCCAATCCTTAGTGTAGGTATGCATTGTACACAGACCCTCACCCATCTCCAGCCTTCAGTAATTAGGCCCAGTTCACATCTGAGCGAACCGAGGTCTAGCGGCGATCCCAGAATCGCACACAAATGCAAACCGCGCTTGCAGTGCCATTAATTTCTAATGGCACCCCAATCGTGGCTAGCAATCCGCACGGATTGCAATCGCGCACAGTCCCAAAAGGGGGGGGGGCATACAGAGATGCATCATACAAGCGATCAGGCGTATTTACAGACCCCGAACCACTTGTATGTACAGCCATCCCAGGCTGTTTCAAATTCTGGCGGTTTCCCTCTTGTACGCGGGCATGAAGGACATTTAAATACGCCCACCCGCATCCAGAAGGCTCCTGTCCGGCCATTTCTGAAAATTTGGCGGATGGGAGGTGGTAATAAATCCGAGGAAATGGGGCATAATAATTAACACTGCTGCCACCAAAGAAGCTGGAGAAAGGGGGGGGGGGTTACATTACAGAGGGTAATTATACACCGTTCCCCAGCTTCATTTGTGGCAATGTTAAAGTAGAGTGAAAGGCTATAAAATAACCCTCCTTTTAAACATTGCCTCCCCACAGCTCTTATATTTGCTGCATAGTTTCTAATAAATCTCAATGAAAATACATATTTAATCTTTATTTCAAGTGGTTTCATGACCACAAAGCTCTGGCAAATGTGCCTGTCAGCACATGCCCGTAGGCAGTAACTCTTTCAGGACCAACCATATTGCTATGGACTCCGGTAGGATGATGTTACTGCTCTAAGGATTCCGCTTCAAAAAAGATAAAAAAATAATATTTCCATTGAGATTTATTCTAAACTGTATGCAGCACATATAAGCGTTGTGAGGGGGTGTTCGGTTGCATTTATATATATATACTGTGTGTATATATACAGTGTATAACTAATATATATAAAAACTGTGTATATAATAAGTTGTATACACATTTCCTATAAAAGAGAAACTTTACCGTGCCCCCTCCTACTGCATGCCTTCCATTGACCTGCAAAATGATGGGTAGCCACATTGATCGATGGGGGAGCCTAGATAGGGGAGAGGGAAAAGCCCAAGCCAGATATTTATCGGGAATGTCAAGATTTGCATATTATTTTCAGCATTTTGTAGCCTGAAACTTTCCTATGGTTTTGATATGTGGTTTTCCATGCAGGTAAATCAAATCTGTCACTTTAGGCAAAGCTTTGGCAGCTGGTCTTGGTAAAATCCAGCTGAGAGGAGAGGAATCTCTTTGGTGTTGTTTCCTAAAATTCAGTGGTTTGCAAATCACTTTAAACCATGTGACAGATGCAGAGGAGACTTGTCATGTCCACGTAATGTCTTCTCATGTAAAAATCATCACCTATAATTTTAATATAGTCTTCTTTTTTCTGCCTTGTTATACTCCCGTTGTGCTTCTTTGCTAATCTTGCTGTGGTTTGCGTGCTCTGTGTTGTGTGACTGCCTGTATATTGTACAGCTGCTTCTGCTGACTTAATCTGCTGCTTTTTTCTGTTTGTCCTGGTGCTTTATTTACCACTTCATTTTGCTATATTTTCTTCTTTGGCATTCCACCTCAAACTGCTCTGCGCTTTTCCTAATCATAATGACAGCTGCTTCTCAGCTGACAAGTCTGTCAAATGTCTCCATCTTCTACTTCCCAATTTGTACAAAGGCCTACATGCATGACTCCAGTGATGGTTGCAAAGTATTTCATAATGTGCGCTGAAACAGCCATTTTCTTGCTAGTCAGAACCCTGTGTGGCAGGATGACACCACAGTAGCACAACTGGGAGACAGGGGCAGAGCATTGTCACCCTTCAACAGCAGTGTCCGAATAAGAAACATTAAGCACAATCACCAGTATTCGTGTAATAAAAGCTGCAGATTTTAAAATATTTAAACATTAATTTTGAAATTAGATTAACCTGTCAAAGCTTATAAGATTTCAGTGTTGTGGTTCTTCATATACTTCTTATTGTTGTCCTACACGTCATGGCAATCAAAAGGTAAAAATATAGCATCTGTGATATTAGATTTTCATCTTTCTGGCTGTAATATAGAAGTTTGTCCTGAGCAGGTACTGTATAAAGCTGTATGAGGGGCCTTGTATTTCGTATTTTATGAACAATTGGGAATTATATTGTGTTTGTGTCTTGTGTGTGTGTGTATATTGTGAGTGTATTTTTACTGGGTATATAGTGTTACAGGCTAGTGCTGTCACTGCGAGAAGAGGCAACACAGTTTGGCATGTAAGGAATCTCAGGCCAGGTGTGAGACTGGCTGGCAGGGTTGTAGACGGTATTTGTGTCACTAAGGTTTGTCAATTACACAGGGTGAAACTAAACCAGGGAAACAAACATCGATGTTGACTGTAAATGGTAAAAAAAGAAATGCTTTTGCTGCTTTCTGATTACTAGTCTAGTTACAGAAACAACATCATAGGAAGACTCTAGAATGTCTCTTTACAAACCATGGCAGAGCAGTGGTGATCCACAGTAGAGGGCACCTTTGGAGGCATACTGGGGAGTTCCCCTTTAGAGGTCTTATTGGACGTGGTTCATGTCCGAAGAGGTCTCATGCGGGTGGTAGCTGGCACAGATTTGCCGATAAGCTGGATTGTTAATGGTGTGTTCTGACCCCTGGTTTGAAACTGAGTGGGGAGTAGGTGACAGGATGGTGACCTGTTACTGTGAGAAGGGACAGTATGAATACAATTTAGCATACAAGGAATCTTTGAAATCTTCACCAGGTGTGAGACTGACCGGCCGGCTCTGAGTGGCTCTGTTTAGAACTTATGGTCTAAAAAAGATTAAATAGCCAGGAGTCTTAAAGCATTTGTGTTATGTTGCGCGGGTGAAACCCCTGTGTGGGCAACTTCTGCTATAAAAGACCTTTTTTCCTTTGAAATAAAAATGGGCAGCAAAGTCCAGAATGACTGGCGAATGGACTGAGTCCCGAGTCCCGAGTCCCGAGTCCCGAGTCCCGAGTCCCGAGTCCCGAGTCCCGAGTCCCGAGTCCCGAGTCCCGAAGCAAATCCTCACAATAGGTTTGAAAACAGTTTATCAAATATCATGCAACATAAACATTTGCAACTACTATCTCTTTTTATTCTACAGGTCCATAACTTTAAGAAATTATATAAATCTATAATGACAAGAAATGCACTTATAGGAGAACTATGCGGTCAGTGTTTTTCCCCATAGTTCTCCTTAGGGTAACGGGAGGACACAAACTAGCGTCCTCCCGTTACCCTAAGCTCAGTATACCGGGAGCTACAGCTCGCGGTATACTGAGACGCCGGAGCGGATCACGACTTAGATGACGGGATCCGCCCAGCTGCGTGAGTGACAGCTTGCTCTGCCTATCTAGAGGCAGAGCCAGCTGTACCCGCCCCCTCCCCCGTCTGTTCCGCCAGTCAGCGCTGGCAGATCGGAGCGGGGAGAGGGGAATCCAGCCCCTCCCCCTGTCACGGCAGAGAGCCGTGACAGGATCGAGAGGCGAGTGAACCCGGTATGTGTTCGCTCACCTCCCGATCTACTGAGCCGACCTGTGACAGTCTCATTGTCACAGGTCGGCTAGAACTATGAGGTGAGTGAAAAGCACCCCCCTCATAGTTCTCCTTTTTAAGCTTGTGTGTAAATAAAAAAATAGAACATTGGTTCCGCAGCAAAACGGCGAAAGCAATTTTTAAAATAAGACCATTCAATCCAGTTATATTTTCAAGGAGAACTATGGGATGAGCGAAATTCACGAATCCCAATAGTTTGAGGTGGCGTGTGACACTGCAGCTGTCGCACATTGGCTCTATAGATCGAGAATTGCGCAATCACAAACTGCTGATCACTCAGTTCACAATCTTCTCCTTGCAGAGATCGGTGGCTGTCAGCCACTGCTCTCTCCATGGCTCATTGAAAAGACAGACAGGGGATGGGGCAGAGAGGCAGTCAGCTGTCTATCAGGCAGCGGGGTAATTCCCGACGTTATTGTTGGGAACCTTCTCAGCTGCAGCGCGGCTCTGAGCTCTCAACATACAGCGGCAATAGCTCACTATATGCTGAGTTTTGGGTCATAGGGGTACAATAGTAAATGTCCTCCTGTGACTCTAAAGACAACTACAGCCAAAAAAAGGTTGGCCATAGTTCTGTTAAAGATCATTAAATGTATATTTCTAGCACCGACCTCAGCCTTCTGTAATCTGCTACACAGCAGAAAGAGGAAGGATCAGCACTCTGAGCCAGTCATGGCTTTTTTGCTTTGCATCGTTTTGTCAGGCATTGTTGTAAATCTGTTTACAGGAGGAGAGAACAGAGGGAAGACTCCATCAGTGTGATGGAAACCTGTCTGCCTTTTAGAAATTAAGTCAATGACCTCTGATAAGAACGCACATCTGGAAAGTCAGAGTGACATCAAAACTAATCTTTTCAGCCAAGGAACCAGTTGCCAGGAAACTGGTATTTGCAAATGGAGAGATCAGCAATGGCAGCCTCCATACTTCTCTGGTACAGTCCTTTTAAAGTGTCCCTGTCATAAATTCAATAAAATCACAAAATAACTACCCTGGGAAAAATACAGCTTTATACATAACTGTACATTTTGGTGCCGTTTTAGCAAAGAGGCCGATCACCAGGTATGTATAATGCTGTTTCTTTCACAGGTTAGTTCTCTTGTGGTTTTGGTGACCCCCTGGCAGGGTCACTTTAATGCGCTTTATTGCAATTAATTTTTTTGGTTTTCTAATACTAATTTTTTTTTTTTCCTGATGCAACAATTTGCAGCATGGAAGTCCCTCCATTCAGAGTTGCATAACAAAATGTTGGGTCTTCCACATCAGATATGCCATCCATTTTGTTGAGTTTTAATAGGAATCATATCTGCTTGGGATCACAGAAATCACATTCCTGGACTCCTTTGCTATAAAATGACAGAGATTGATGAGGTGTGTCTCCTATTATCCCTACAGATTTTCACCATGGCAGTGTGGATCCAGGCACAGCAGTTGCAAGGCGATGCCCTACGTCAGATGCAGGCACTTTACGGGCAGCATTTTCCTATAGAGGTGCGACATTACCTGTCACAGTGGATAGAGGCACAATCATGGTATGTATATAGTGTCCCGCTGATTGCTTGTAACACATAAATAATACTTATTTTATTAAGTTACTTATGTATACTTAAAGTGACACTAAACTCAGAAGTTAAAAAAATGCATTCGAGTACCCTATTAACAAAGATGTAGAGTATTTGTGTATCACTCGGATGTCAATCCTTAAAGTGACATTAAACCCTCAGATTTTTTAACATAAACCAATACTGTAATGTGTGCCTTACTGTAATCCATGGTTGTTTCCCTTCTCTTTGCTGCTCTTCCTTTTAAATCCTCATGTCTTCTCATGCTTGGGGAGAACTTCCCTTTGCAGCTGAGTGCCTCTTCCTGTAGTGCTGGCTCAGGTTGTGAACCTTCACACAGACACCATGTATCCATTTCAGAGACAAGGCAGTCTGCTGCAAAACAGAAGTTCTGCCCAGCATGAGAAGAGATACAGATTAAAAAGGAAGAGCAGCAAAGAGAAGGGAAACTACCATGGATTACAGTAAGGCACACATTACAGTATTGTTTTATGTTAAAAAATCTGAGGGTTTAATGTCACTTTAAATCACCTCTGAATTTGTTTCAACACTGTCCTTTCTTCCGGAGGGTGACTACTTTTGTTCCCCATGGAACAAGCTCACTCCTTTGATGGATTACAATCTCACGTTTACTTTTTGTTATTGAAAATGTAGTCCATCACAGTAGCGAGCTTGGAGGAGTGGCTACTTTACAACACAAACAGGACCATGAGGAACAAAAGTAGCCATCCTCTAGAAGGAAGGACAGTGTCAGCACCAATTCAGAGATGATTTGAGAAGCTGAGTGATGCACAAAATACATATTTTTGTTAATAGTTAGGATACATGAATGTATTTTTAAGATTTAACTCCTGAGTTTAGTGTCACTTTAAATTGGTCTTGCTTGGCCCAATGTAACCATACATAATTCATACTTGGTAAGGCCCTCATCCAATCACGGAACACTTAGTATTCATTGATAAAAAAAATACTAGGCATTTGCTGTATGGCTGCTGTGCTGAGTGAGCGATCCGTGTTTTCACAGCAGAGAGAGGAAGTCCCTCAGCACAGTGGCAGTACAGGTCCGGAAAGATTACTGTAAAACCGCGTAGTGGCGCCGGTTACTACCGTGTTTTACAGGATCCTCGTTGCCCTACCAGGTATAAAATATGTATACTTTAATTGGGCCAAGCTGGACCAATGTAAGTATACATAAATGTTTTTACCTGGAGCTCAGCCTTAACCAGTAATATTGCCACTTCATACAAAAAGTTCACCTATTCAGAAATACAGCTCACTCCAGACAAACCCTTTTTTTTTTAGTTTAGAATATTGTGTTGAAGGGATAGATCCTATTGCTTTCTTATCAGAGATCTCAGAATGCTTATAATGTTCATAAATGTTTGTACCCTTATTTTTTTAACCAAATAATAAATAAAAACATTTTTACATTTGTTTACTTAAAAATAATTTAAATAAAATGAGCCTAATTAAGTTTTCTCATTAATTAATGTTCTATGGTGATTACCAGGGACTCTGTGGATCCAGAGAACCCCCAGGACAGTATAAAGGCCACACAACTGCTGGATGGGCTGGTGCAGGAACTGCAGAAAAAGGCAGATCACCAAGTTGGTGAAGATGGGTTCTTATTGAAGATTAAACTTGGCCACTATGCCACACAGTTTAAGGTATGTTGTGTACATTTTTGTGTTTAATTTCATGCCAAAATGGTGCATAAAAACATTTGTTTAGAAGTGAGCAGTCACTGTTCAACCATCCCAGCTCTCACACCGGTAAACCCCCTATGGATTAGTGCAAATGTTACATTTCAGTTATGGGCTTGTTTATTAGGCAACAACTTTGTCATTACTTTGTCATTACTTTGTCATTTGTCTTGCAAAAATTATATTATTTATGTGGTCCATAAATAAAATAGCAAAATGAAAAGAAATGCATTTTGTTCTAATTATATTGGTGTTAAAATTTTTATTCTGTAATCTGTCCTGTTTAAAATAACACTAAAATTATTCTGGCACAATGCATTGCAACAATATTTACAAATGAAATAAAGCCTTTGTTTTTTAATGTTCTCTTTTAATGTAGCACGAAAAGCATTATCAAATAAAACCAATACTAATAAAAACAAAGTTTAAATATTATTAGCAGAATATAAATAAAAAAAATCAGCAGGAAAATAATAGCTACGGGGAGAAGTGGGAGCTGGGGGCTGGTTAGGGAAAAAAGGGTTAATAAGTGGTTAAATAGGAACATATTTCATTAAATATAATTTTTACTTTGTCAGGTTGCTTGAACTGACATCATATACAGATGGAAGTTCATCCTTTTGATCTGCTGTAAATACAAAGTAATAATGCTACTTGGGATCGCTCCATCTTGTGCATCTGAACAGAGTTTATAAACACTATATCATAAGGTCCATTTTTTGACAGTAGCAGCATCTGAACTAGCTGCTCTATTTACGCGGCAACTCCCAGCTGTTAATAAGAGCGGGGAATTGCCCAAAAATACAGGGAGAGGAGCAACAGCAGGGCAGAAGCACAGTGCATACTACACACACCCTGTGTGTAGTGTAGCACACCCAATGCTGACAACTGGCAACATTTAATGGTTATGGTTTTTTTAGAATTTTAAAGGAAGAAACTTTTTAGTTCAGTCCTAAAATCCTTTTGCTAAAACAGTGAAAGTATTTTCATTGTATTTGGAAAAACATATATTTATTTTTTACATATCTTAGGGCCCATTCACACCACATCCAGATCATCACCAAACCAGATTGTTTCCAGACCCAAAATACATCCTAATGTATCCCTATGCTATTTCTGGCCTCTGTTCACACCACCGCAGTCCGTTCCAGACCAGAAAAATACTGCATGTCTCATTTTGTCTGGTCTGGAATGCACTGGAACTGTGGGCAGGTTCACCTCATTTTCCGGACCAGATCTGCCCCTATAGTGGACCTTTACCCCCTTTTACTAAAAATAACCTCAGCATACAGCTCTACATGCTGATATGAAATCATATTACATTCATTATTTAAACAAACATATTTTTCTTATTGTTTTTCCTCTGCCTAGTCCTCTTGGGCATTAGTGATGTCATGTGCCCAAGCGTTGCATCCTGGGAAGGTTACATCAGCAGAGCATTGCTGGGAAATCTTATCTGTAATCTCACTAGATCTTAGGGAAAGGCATTTTCCTCCCCTGACATGATGTGAATGGTCACATGTCCTAGTCACATGTGTCAGGGATCCAGGAAGTAAAGGGAGAGCTAATTAGACTGGGGAGGAAAAGAAAGATTAGGTATGCAAAGAATACAAAACCAGCAATTATCTAGAAGTAGGTGTTTGTAGATTGTCATTACTAAACATTTCTAAATTTGTATTTGTTGTAATTTCAAAGATGTGGGTAAATTTCCTCTTTAAGCAAAATCCAGCCGAAGATGTTTATTTTTACTTTGGATAGAGAGGGAAATGAGTAAACCGCTTTGTGTTTTTTTTTTGTTTTTTGTTTTTTATTGCTGTCTCATTGGGGAGATTTGAGCTTTCTCCTTGCATCTTGTCTCAGCGACCACATAGTATGTGAGGGAAATCGCAGCAACAGGGACACAAATGACATTAAAAATGCGGCAAACATTCTAAAGGCTTTTCCCTATTCTGTCCAGAAGTGAAAAACAAAAGTTTTAGCACTTTAAGGCTAGCAAATGAACTAAAGTACTTCTCTTACCTAATACACCTATAAGACCTTTGCATATAGAGTTCTGCTTTGTTTGTTTTTTGCAGTCTTTGTGCATATCTAATTGCTTAAAAAATAGTTTTATTGAATTATTTAAATTAATTATTATTTTAAAAATGCTAATATGTAGATAACTGGTTGACAAATGTTTTTTAAATAAATGCACAAACTGATGATGTATCTTTGGAGATCGGTGCAATCTTTAAACAATTTTTGTGATTCTACTCTTTCACAGAACACATATGAACGCTGTCCAATGGAGCTGGTCCGATGCATCCGACATATTTTATACCATGAACAGCGGCTAGTAAGGGAAGCAAGCAATGTAAGGCTCTGGGTTTTAGTACTCCCCCTTTGATTTCATGGAAACACTCTTTTGTGTTTTAGGTTGTGTGTGTGCATTCTTATATCTGTATTTTTATTTTTATACTTATATACTTATGTATTTTTATATATTTTATACTTATGAGTTTTTATACAAATAGGTTAGTAAGCCTTGTTGCTGTATCTTTTGTATTGTTAACTTGTATTGCTATTTTTTTCAAACACTTACAAAAAAACTTTAAAACACAAAAATTTAATAATGTTTTGTTTGTGGATGGCACCTACAGGCAGTATATACAAATTCCAATAGTTATCTAAATTTAGGACCCTAGCTGTTGGGTTCCAATAAAAGTTGAACCTAATGCCTTGACAAAGCCAAGTTCTGCTTGTCTACTGTGTTGGTAGTGATAATAGAGGGTACAATGTTGTGCAGGAATCCATAAGAGACAAGCTCAGAAAATCTTTCAGCAGTTCACTGTTTAGACTTTGCAAGCTGGTTTCTAATTGGTTGCTCAGAGGTAATTACGGGCTACGCATAGGTATTAGATTTTAGATCGAAGAAATAACCAATTTTGAACCTTTTGTCAAGAAGAATATGTAAACGTCATTCATACAAAAGACCTTTTTTTGGATGAACATTGCCAGAAAGATGAATTCATAGAACTGTAATTTGTTGTCCATGTTCTGTTGAAAGGACAGTCTTTTTGCATGCCTTTTGCATGGTGCACATGCCATGCTTCCAGGCATGTGCACATCCTGGAAGCCAATGCCACATAGACAATATGTATGTCTTCAGAAAAGATTGTTAGCGTCGGTGGCGAGAACTTTCCCAGTTTTGGAGAGCACTGTCTATTCTCTATGACTAGCTATACTTGACTTTATTACTGCCATTATATAAACCTCAGTGCCCATCTTTGGCACCATATTTCATTGAGTTGTTCAAAGACCTTGTGGTATTTCTCTTTTGCAGTCCAGTTCTCCAGTTAGTGGCATTGTGGACACCATGCCACAGAAACACCTTCAAATCAATCAAACTTTTGAAGAATTGAGACTTATCACTCAGGACACGGAGAATGGATTGAAAAAGCTGCAGCAGACGCAGGAATACTTCATCATACAGTACCAGGAAAGCCTGAGGATTCAGGGTAAGTTTGCCCACATGTTTCTGTTTCCAGTGAATAATACGAGAAGCAGAAGTAGGAGACCAGGCAGACTTAGAAGCTCCATGTAGGAATTCTTGTATCAAGGTGTGAAAGTAGTTGTTTTATACATTTCTAAGTTTATGTTTTGTTATAGATGCTTAGGAGCGTTACATTTTTCTCATCAAGAATATATGTATTTAAAGTGGACCCCCCATTTTAAACTGCCACCTTAATTGTATTAACAACTGCAAAATAAACTCATGTAATGATCATTACTTGCCATCTTTATCCGTATATTAATGCGCCTCTTCATCCAGATTTGTGCTGCCATCTTGACTCGCAGACATCATTGTTGGGCAGCTTTTTCTTCCACCTTTTTCTTCTCAACTCACTGATGATGTCAGCTCGAAATCTGTCTAGATAAAAAAGAATAACTGAGCTTTCCCAAGAGCTAATGAGATATCAAGTAAAAGGCAACTCATCCTTTTTTCTACGTACAGTTTTACCTACAATGGTTCCCTGAAAGGCACCAGTGATGTAGCTTTCTCAGGGGGCAGCTATGAGGACCTGGCTACATCACCAGTGCCTATTAAAAACCTGGAAGTTGGAGAAACAGAATGTAAGTTAACAAATACAGTTTACATTTAAAAATGGGCATTATAGATGTTTAGGGATCAGCATTCAGGTGTGTATGCACAGGGGGATTTATGTGTGGTGGAGGGGAAAGGTCTGATTAAGTTTTTTTGGAGATTAAAGGAGAACTATGAGGTGAGTGCTTTTCACTCCCCTCATAGTTCTAGCCGACCTGTGACAATGAGACTGTCACAGGTCGGCTTAGTAGATCGGGAGGTAAGCGAACACATACCGGCGTATGTCTCTGCCGTGACAGGGAAGGGGCTGGATTCCCCCCTCCCCGCTCCGATCCGCCAGTGATGACTGGCGGATCGGATGGGGGGGGGGGCGGGTACAGCTGGCTCTGCCTCTTGATAGGCAGAGCCAGCTGTCACTCACGCAACTGGGCGGATCCAGACATAATTGTCAGGATCCGCTTCAGCTGTGGTGTCTCAGTATACCGCGAGCAGTAGCAGCTCGCGGTATACTGAGCTTAGGGTGACGGGAGGACGCTAGTTTGTGTCCTCCCGTTACCCTAAGGAGAACTATGGGGAAAAGCCTTAACCCCATAGTTCTCCTTTAAAGTCAAAATCTTTATAATAAAATACATTAGATTTTTTAGTTCTTTTTTTTACCACTGATTTGATGACTTCCATAACAAGGCATCATTTTTTTCTGCTTTAAAATACAGATTTAAGTCTTTTCAAATAGAGTTAAAAACTGTTCTTTGATTTCAGCAAGCAAATATTTGAATTGTTAAACTGATGTTAACCTAAAAGTTACTTTTTAAGGTAATAATCCAGTTTTTCTTGGCTTCTGTTCCATTTATTAGTTTATTTCTGTACAGATTTGTTGGTGCTCCCTCTAGTGACTGTCTGCATTATTAGTCCTTTATTCTGTTCAATTTTACACATGCATTTTGCAGTACTTTACAGAGTTATTAGCCATGGCAAGTCGAGACCCACAAAGGAGCCTACAGCCTAATGTTATCATAGTCATACATGCAGACACAAACAGTAAGTACAGTTTTTGGGTTGTTGGAAGTTATCAATAAAACCAAAGAAAATCAGAGCAAGCACAACCCACATGTAGACCATACAGACTTGCAAACAGACAGTGCTCCTCTCATGGTGAATACCAAATCCAAGACACCAGCAGGGCAAAGGTGTTAATTGTCACCTGAGACCAGGTCATTTGTTGGAAAGCTACCTACAAAGTTTGATTTTCAGTCAGTCACTGTGCAGAATGTCTAAGAAGTTAGCAAAACCCAGAAAAAAATACTCTTCCCTATATTTGCATGCCCGTTTAAAGGAGATGTCCCACTTGTATTATTTTTCACATCCCTGTCACCTAACTCCCACAGTGTATGTTGTTTTTTCCCGCATGCTTCTGTGTAGAGGAGAAACAGACTTTGACAGCTTGGTTCTCTTCATTCCTGGCTATGCTCTGCAAAGCAGACAGACTCTTGATTGACAGCTTTTTTTGTCACCGCCTCTGCCTAAAATAAGGCTTCGCTTCCAGTTTTAGTGCCTGTGCTAATTCCCTCTGCAATCCTGTGACCTCACTTAGGTCTGAAAAGTGCAGAGAATGTGAAATAAGAGCTGTCAATCAAGAGGTTGTTTCCTTTGCAGAGCTGCTGTGCTGGTCCCGGGCTCACACCGGGAACAGCAGAGCTCGGGATCGCCGGCAGGGGGGGGGCGTACACCCCCACGCATATTACAAGCGATCGGGCGTCTCTACAGACAGGAAACACTTCACTAAAGTGATCATGTGCCACAATCTAAATAGTATTGGCTTGGAGCCATCTGCTTGTAATCTGACCTGAAAGTAAAAAAAAATTAAAGTTGCAAAAAAAATAAAAAGTCACATATCAAAGCAATAATAATAATTAAAAAAAAATGTAAGTCCCCCACCCCCCACATACACACGCAAACATGCGTCGAGTCCGCCTACGTGTCAAAACGACGATTGCATCCATTATGCCGCACATGTTACCTATCGCAGCGATTGTCGGAGTGAGAGCAATAATTCTAGGGCCATTAATCACCGATAACACAAAACTGATGAGCGGTAAAAGCATTTAAAGCGTCGCCTATGGCCAATTTTGGGTATAGTAGTTTTTTGCGATTTAGCGGGTGCGCGCAATTTTAAAGCTTGACATGTTTGGTGTCTATTTACCCGACGTGACCCCGTCTTTTATATTTTACCAAAAAATTGGGTAATAATAAATGTTTTATAACATAACGTAGGGAGAACAGGTTTTTTTTCCAAACTTTTCAGTACTTTTTTCATTATATAGTAAAAGAATAAAACCCCCAGTGGTGATTAAATACCACCAAAATAAAGCTCTATCTATCCCCAAAAAATTGTATAAAATTAATTTCAGTACAGCGTTGCATGACGGAATAAATGTCAGTCAGAGTACTGCAGCGCTGAATACTGAAAATGGCCTGGGCAGGAAGGGGGTATAAACATCCCAGTCAGCAAGTGGTTAAATTCTGAAGTCCTGAGCATATGGTGTCAGCTCTCCCTACTTTATTTTTGATGGATTACATAGGAAACAGCCCTCTCCTCATCTTCAAAACCCCTCCTTTTGCACTGAGAGTTAGACGTTTGCAAGATTTCAGGTATTTTTTGCACTTATTGAACAGATGTACCAAAACGCTTTTTGTGGTATATTTGGCAGACCAAAAGGGAGCGCATAGGAGTTCATTGTTGGTGTTTACATAGGTTTTAAAGGGACACTGTCAGGAGGGATTATCGGAGGCTGCCATTACTGAATTCTCTTTTGTGTATGCTAGTTCCCAGGCATTCTGATCCTTTAACTTTAGTGCTGTCACTGACCCAGGACAAACATAAAGATAAGACACTTTAATGACACTTATTTACAGCATGCTTGTTCTAGTACTGTTACTATAAATATACTGATGTCAGGCACATCTAGGTCTCTAGTATTTTTAGAAGGGTGGGCCTGCAATGACAGCCCCTAGACTTCTTATAACAGAGTCACTTTAAGGTTGTCCTCGATTCTATTATGAGAGTGATTAACCATGTTTGAAAAAAGTATAGATGAAGCAGAAGTCCAATTTCACTGCACTTGAGAGTTTTCTACATTTCTCTTTCTGATCATTTATATTGATTGTTTATGCAATTTACTGTTATTTTGAAAACAATTAGCCTTCAGGCTGCTGGAAATGAAGGTACTTATGCTGGGGCCATAATTATACACTTTGACTTGCTCTATGCTCTATGCTCTATTGCTTGATGGATTCTCAGTCGTCAAATCTTGCCAGAAATAATTAAACTCCTTCAGAGATTGCTGCTGTTATAACCTGGGTAAACAGCCTGTAGGGGAGGAGGGTGAAAAGCTCTCAGCAGCAGGACATCCATCTCTTTACCGCAGCAAGAGTTTACACTTAAGAAAGCATTGGCATACAGTGTACCATTCAACTGTGCCAAAGGTACACAGCCCAAAACCAATGGCAGGAAGCCCAGGGTGGCTTATCATCTAGGGAGTAGCAAGGGTTTAATATACAAACAGTTGTGATGGATGTGAAGTTCTCACATCCGAATAAAACTGCCAGAGGCAATCATTTCTGAGCAGTTTTCCAGCTTTTGGAAAAGTGTGATTTAAATGTAGTAGGAAAACCTGTAGGGCCCGTGTGCCATTGTCACAATTGTTCAACACATGCCTGTCAAATAAAAGGTTATAGTCACTTCAAATGCTGAAGAACTGTGTACAGTGACAGTCATGTTCCTATAAGATTCTTGGAACACAGTTTGTGACAAAAGCTCGGCTATGTTCCCCTTGGTAGAGGTGAAGATAGGTATACAGTGCTCAAGGTTGTGTCATTCCTGAAATGTATTATTTATCAATAAACTTGATTTTATGAAGTGTTCAAACATTTTGAAAATGGCTTTTTACATACCGTATTTTGCACTCCATAACACGCACCTGACCATAAGACGCGGGGTAGGGTTCTGTGTAGTTCCTGACAGCTGAGACAATTGGCTCTGTAATTACAGCGCCACGGTCTCAGTGATCACACAGAGCAGACGAAGAACGGACATTGTTTGCCTGCTCTACGGGCTCTATGGTGAACTCCTATGCCGTAGTCACGGACCCCGAAAGCCGCGGCGGAATTCTAGGGCCATTAATCACCGATAACACAAAACTGATGAGCGGTAAAAGCATTTAAAGCGTCGCCTATGGCCAATTTTGGGTATAGTAGTTTTTTGCGATTTAGCGGGTGCGCGCAATTTTAAAGCTTGACATGTTTGGTGTCTATTTACCCGACGTGACCCCGTCTTTTATATTTTACCAAAAAATTGGGTAATAATAAATGTTTTATAACATAACGTAGGGAGAACAGGTTTTTTTTCCAAACTTT